TAGCCTAATTTTGCAATGGTGTCAACGTTATTCCAATGTTATGTTGTGATTCGCAGAGGTTGCGACAACGAGATTCGTTTAAAAAAATTGTATTTTTCAAATAAGATCCCCTAATTTTCGGAGTACTGGGTTTCGGACAACTGGGTTTCGGAAAACTGGGTTTCGGAGAACTGGGTTTCGGACAACTGGGTTGACCCCGTATTTTTTTATCTCCCCAACCTAAGAGCAACTATGGCAACACCTTTTGAGAATATTGAAAATTACTCCGTTGAAGATCTGTTTGCACCTTGTCTAAAGGATGAAATATTGAGATTTTTTATGAGAATATGTCAAATTAGGATTTCACGGACTAGTCATTTACATAAAGTTTATTTATTTATTTATTAAGTGAGGAAAAGCAGTATATTATCTGTCATTTTATTTCCATAACTTTGTGTTTTCTCGTTTTCTATTGAGTGTCAGGCATCAAGTTACTACATTGATCCCTCAATAAATTTTCTCTTAAACTTGTGGTAAGATTTGATGTGGCTAGAGTCTACATTTATTTAGCCATTGTAATGACAATAAACATATAATGAATGTTGGATTATCACCAAATTAAAGCTGATTAGGATTATCTGTCACTTATCTCCTACTAATCCCTCATGGGACTTACATCCAAGCTGACCTCTAATTCTAAAGATGTTCATTTCAAGGACTGTCAAACACTTATCAGTAAATCCTCCCAAAGGAGAAGTATATGATATTTCAATGTGTTTATTTAAAGCCAGCAAGTGTTTGACAGTTTGTTTAAACTGGGTGTAAACATAGGAAGTCCATGCCAGGAAAATGTCATGAGATCTGTGTCAAACCTCAAGAGATCTTCTGTGTGGATTACTACGATTTAAAGAGCCTAGTACATTTGAAGATGAATCTCCCTTTTGAAGAAGCAAAATCAAAAACATTGGATATGGTAATTGTGGATAAATATAATGCAGCAGTTTGTACTTTCAGTTTCCAATAACAATATGGAATTTTATGCCCAGTTTAGAATCTAGTTAATAAAAACGAGAAGAAGCCACATGTTAGCCATTTATAAGTAGTATCCATATTGTACACATAAGCATGGGCATTCTGTTAAAGCTATTCAATGAGAAGTATCATAGTCAGTGAGAAGTATATTTAATGACAGGTACAATAGTACAGAGAGAATAATCTAGCAGCATAAGGACTTAATAGAAAGAAAGTGTGATGTATGGAAATGGGAATTTTAATAGACATTTAAAGTGACATATAACATTTGAAACTGGAGTCATCTTTCATATTGAAATCTATATCGCCAGTCAAGGATATATTGTTGCCAATGGAAACAGGTAAAATTATTACTTTATCCTCAGTTCTGTTATAATCATCATTTTACGTGTATATCAACGCCAGGTGATGGTGACGTATTGTTCAGGTACTTTTTGTGACAGACATTTGGCATTCAACATCTGTAACAAATGGTCACACTTTCAGTGATCTCACCTGAATTTTTTCGAGGTATGGTGTTATATCTTATTTATTGTTTTTGGTTATATCAGGGTTTAACATGCACTGTTGTTCTAAGGCTGGGGAGATCAATAGCTTCTCTAATTGCAACCAGATGGTGACATTTTACAGCTTTGTACATTTTTTATATTGAATGTTACCCTGCGTGCAGAGTCTAGTTAAACTACACTCTGCCTAGTAGAGACCATATTACAGTTTAGTAGCCCCGCCCCCACGACGGGTACCGGTGACAGTTTGGGTAATAACTCACTTCTGACGTACGTGTTGACCTTTCTTCCACCAATCTGCGAGCTTAAAGAAACATACGCCAAATGCATTTTAATTAAGTATGCGCATGTCATTGGTCAATTTCGGGCTCAACGATGACTTCAGAAGGAATGACCATATATAGAACGTCGGTAAAATTTGGCCGACGAACACTGATTGGCGTGGTGAGTTCAAAGGTTTACTTTAGTTTGAAAGAGTGAAGACGAAGCTCTCTTTTAAGAAGTGAAGTCAAACAAATGCAAAGAGTAATTGAATGTCAGAGCTTATAGTACATTATGTAGATGAACCTCTCTTTTAAGATGCAAGATCAAACCATTTGAAATTTTAATATTTAATAGTCTGCACATTACTATACAGGAATATATCCTAGTTTGAGGTTATAAGGTAATGGACCAAACACCAACAGCAGGACATAAGATAAAATAAAATAAAGTTTGTCAAACATGTTACTTGGGAGTGGGAGTGGGGATGTCTGTGTTAAGACAGCATCATGTCTTACATGGTGATGATGTAAGAGATGTGAACAAGCATAGGCCAGGGTGTTATCATAGACTATACAGTAACTTTGGCTTTTGTCTATTTGTGTGAAAATTAAATTAGTTTCACCGTGGCAGTAAAGGTGACAGTAAAAAAAGTCAAACTAATAAATAAAGAAGAAATGATTCAAAAAGCAATGTTGAACTGGAGTTCATAAATCAATGTAAGTCTACTATAATACTTGTACAAGTAAATTAGAAAAGTTTCTCATGTTTTGAAGAGATCTTAGTTTTCCATTAAAATCTAACAGCAGAATGCAATAAGACGCTTTGTACTGACAGATGTCTGGAGGCAGATGTAAGGAAATCCCTAACACCTGTGACCTTTAATCTGTGACACTGAATACAAAACTTTCCCAACTAAGACTCCTGGGCCTAGAGACTTGAAATTGAATTAGAGGACATTTTTATAGTTAGTCTTATTTTGAAAAAAACAGTAGTGAATTCAGTGCAAGACTTCTCCATCTGCATTCTTCATCGCAAAATGGAAGGGATGCTTTTATCAGAATGATTATGATTTAATGGGGCCTTTTAACTAACAGTTTGAAAATTTAAGATACAAACGATAAATATGTGACCATGAAGAAATAAATGATAGGGCTCCTAAGGCTATTCTTGAAGGTAGTTCCATATTTTCACAAAATAATTGAAGAATTTTTTTTTTGATTTTGAACAATGTATATTATTGTATGATATGTGTAAATATCTACACATAATTTTCTTCAAATTAGACCTGATTTAAATCGCCTAAAACCTTCATCTGGATTAAGGGAAAATAGAGCTAAGGGGCAACATGAGATATAAATGGACATATCTTCAGAAGAAATATTTAACGTGATATGTGAGAAAGAATATCAAAGGAAGAGGTCCCATACCAATCAAGTTATAGCATTGTGATCTTTTGAAGTCTAGATCCACATTTCAAGGGTTTATTTATTCTGGACAACTGCCTTTTACATGTACTGTACTCCAAAAATCTAATTTAGAATCCAATTTCCTGTAGATTGACAATTGAGCTTTCAAGGTAAACAAATTTGATGTTTTAAAACAAGATGTGTGATATCAAATGTTTAATCGTCAGACTCAAGCTTTCAATTCAAATGTACCGCCTTTTGTAAATAAACACTTTTAATTGTCCACGAGTCAATATTTGGTGAATGCGCAAATTCAGTTGCATTGAACTGAAGTCGCAGTAGAGTTAAAGTTTTAGTACTGGTAAATAACATGGATAAAAGGACTTAAGAACATCTAGAAATGAAACCCATGTTAAGTGTATGAGAACATGGAAGGAATCGTTCTCAAAATCAATGTTTTATTCAGAACTTTATAGCTTTTACAACTAAGCTTTGTGGATGAAAATTTGTAACACTGTCAGACTGCTCAAGGATCATTGAATCACATGGAATATACTTTATTGCTTGTATTTGTTTGGTACCAGCTGTTAGGATACTAAAGCTTTGACATTCAAAAATCACGTTTACTTTATTGTGAAGGAATTTATTCTGACAATGAAAGAAATCTCTAAACGGGTAGGTGATTTTATACAGTCTTGTGAAAAGTTCATGAGTTTCATTGGCATCTGGCAATAGGTGATTTTTTATGTGGTGACACCTTATTACAGTCTTCAACTTTTTGTGGTTGGTGTTTGGCATTTGGTGGTTGGTGTTTGGTTGATGGTTGGTGTTTAGCAGTCAGTGTTTAGTGTTTGGTGTTTGTAACAAATGACAGGTAGTGACATTTTGCATGTTAATGCCTTGTTTTCAGAATGTTTAATCAAAATTGCCTATGGTTTTTAGGCCAAATGCATGAGGAACTGTTTAAATGTTAAAATTTACAATCGTTTTCATATGATATTTCTTATTTTTGTTTCATTTGGCTATTCTTAGAAAATCATATGATCCTGAGGGTCCTGAGATCCTGAGGCAAGCTTACTTCTAATTGGTTGTAAGCATATTTTAAAATCATAAGATGATGCAAATGGATATTAAGAGGGTGCAGTGGAAGCATATTTTAAAAATCGATTATGGTTGCAGAGTTGGGAGATCACATGTTGATCCAAACGAATGGCAAGTGATACCAATTTGAGTTTTTTGTGGCTATCCTCAGTACTGTACAGTGTAGTATATATTATATTGGCAACTTGTTTGGATGGTTACCAAAGTTTTGGATTAAGAATCACTTATAACTGTAGGATTCATGTTTTGTGTCAGTCAATAGAGGCATATCTTGTAATTATTCTGTTTTGTGTCAGTCAAATTATTATGACTTATAATTATTGAATTTGTGTATGCATGGCTTGTATAAAGTATGTGCTATATTGTGTATAAATGTACTTCACTTTCATGGCCTTGGATGTCTTTTTGCACTAGGTTGAATGCTTGAAATGTTATGAAATTATTTGTTTAAAGCCAAATGTTGTTTCAAGTTTTGAATATTTTGGGTAAAATTATATTTTTTCATTCAAGTCTTTTATCATTCAAGTTCATATGGAATTCCAAATGCCAATCACAAAAATGAGGGCCACTTAACAATATGTTATCATGCCTTGGTGGGTGGTGACGTAAAAACAGATGGTTTACAGACAGAATCACCATGTCTCATTTAAGTAAATAAATATTGCTATAGATTGCTCAACTTATATATTTCATGAATTAAATCGATCATTTCAGATGGATGCCGCTGCCGCCAGCCCAGGAGGGACTCTAGAGACGGACTCCACCCTCGGGTCAACTAAGAAAAGCCGGAGTGCGTTTAAAGGAAGCACACTCATCTCAAAATTGATATCTCAAAAACCTGGTAAATTTGAAGATCGCCAACACGCTGTAAGGTTAGTGCACGAGTGTTTCAGATGTCAATTAGCAAAAAATAAATTAAACTGTTAATATATGTAGTTATGTACGAGTATAACTCAATCAGTATCCTACCATGGATATTGAAGTAAGGAAAAGAGAATTGATAAGTAAGAGAATCACAATCAAAATATTAATAAACAAGTAAAATTAAATGAATTCTTTTAAAAATTCAATCCAAGATATAACAAGACACAAAATCGCCATTCATATAAATATTCTTTACTTTTAAATTGAAAATTTAATTAGCTTTTACAACTATTTTTCCCCTTATGCCACATCATCTGCAGTATTTTGATTGTCACAAATTATGTCTGAATAATTATCATAACTGCATGGAGCATATCTGGTGTCTGGCTGTATTTGGTACATGATATGACTTCATCACAGTGTCTTTAATTTAAGGTAGACAGTGTGTTATAAATGTTTGATTTAATTAGCAAATTTAATTACCATTTTGCTTCAGTCTAATTTTTGTGTGGGTCAGAAAAAAGCATATTATAATAATTATGTCAAGCCAGTTTTCCAAATCAAATCTCCGACAAACCTATTTATTCCATTTAGATACTCATCCTTTCTCCTTAACATGTAGTAGCAATTTGTTCTGCTTAATCAATGCCATGGTAATCTATGATCAATATTTTCAAATACTGAAAACAAATTTTTTTCCCTCCCTATTATGGAACACCTCATCATATAATAATAGGTATGAACTCTTCAAATTATAGCGAGAGAGTTACAGCTTTTTATAAAAATAGTTGAAATGGTGCAAAACATACTGTTAAACCACTTAGTGTTGGATCAAAATGGCCAAATTAGAACTTAAATCTAAAAATATATCTTATGAGTTACCCAAAGCTATTTTGAATAATACACAATCAGCTTGTGTGCAAGGGAGGTTCTATCCCACTGAGCAATAGTATTATTTCAATGGATCACATTATATAAACAATATATATTTTAACTGCCACAAATATACCCCCTCCCCCTAAAGAAAATATAATGTAGCTTGCGGTAGATCTTCTGTTACATATGGAATATGTCAGAAGCACTCAAAAATTGCATAAACTTAGATTCTATTTTGAAATGCCATTTCACCAGATATAAAAGAGTAAAAATTTTCTATTTATCAAATCTTTATATAAGGGTCAGAAAAAGCATTACAAGATATGGGTACTCTACATGACACTTGGTTTAGTTTCTCATGTTTACAAGCCATTAACTAGCTCAGGTTAACATATTTTGACATTTGATTTTAAGATATTCCATTTTACTGTTAACTCAGTGATGTCGCGGGAATCAACATAATGTTGAATGGATGACATTTTTCTTTGGAGATATTTTAATTAAGTAATTTACTATTAGGAGGTAACTTGTAAGTAACAGGCATGTTATGCAGTCAATTTAAATTATAGCCAATAATCATTTTGATTTGATACCCGGAGCCTCATTATTTCAAACACTTGTAGAGGCTTGGGATACCAAAGTAGCCAATAAGCATTCATTCATCAATTTGTGTGCATGTTTTACATTATATTATATCATTGAGACATGGACTACCATTGCAACCCTTAAAAATGAATACTACAAAAATTAATAATTTAAATATTAAGTTTGATGAAATTATTGAAAGTCTCCTTTGGCGTTGCTTACATTAACGAAATGCAAGTCCTTACAGGTAACATTTCTTACTAAGACTGTTTTGAATGCTTGAAATGTACATGTTTCGGTCCATATACCTTTTTGCAAGGGCTACATTAACTTTTCATGTTTTTGATTTTAATTTCAGATTTGCCCAGCGACTACTGGACATTGGACATATAAGAAGTTCACAGGGGAATACTACTTTTTCTGATGGAAATAATCTGTATACCTGGAAGAATGACCAAGTGATTAAAGAAACAAAGCGAATGATCACACAGGAAGTAAACTCAAGAGGGACAAATGTTACCTCAGATATGGATCGTCAAAATTGGAGGAATACATCAAATAATAGTTATAGTCATAGAAATGTGGAACGACAGAGCAATGGAGTCGAAAATGGATTTGTGAGTGACAATGATGTGTCTATGGGGTCTAGTTTTAAAGACCCCATAAAAGCATGGCAAGCTGACGTAAATGAGAAAAGTACCCCATATAAGACAGCTTGGTCAACAGGCAAAGCTCCTAGGGCTCAACATTTGAATGAAAATAATACGAAATCTAATTTCAATAGTCCTGAGAATGGAGGATACGGTTCACAAAATGGCCACCAAAACGGATTACAAAATGGTGGCCAGCTGAACAGTCCAAACAGACAATCGCATGGGGATTATGTGAAACTGAGAGACAAAACCAAATATGAGAGAATGACTGATAAAATAAAAGAGAAACTCCAGGATCCGCAAATGGACAGGGTGTCTAAGAGGTCTTCCTGGCACTCACCTCCAACTACGCTGAACAGAGAAAACAAACCAAATATGGCGCACCCCGCATTCCGATCTCGCACCCAATCAGACGATGGTATCTCCTTGCTTTCAGAATCTCAGAGTATTGTTGATAAAACGCCTGGGGCTTCAAGACAAAGTAGAGGTTCAAAACCACATGATATCAGTACTGATAGCCTTGAACAAACTCCAGATACAGTGCTCAGTAGTCCTGTCTACTCTGCCATATACTCCAAACAGAATTCTGGCTCTGGGAACCATTACCACCATACTGAGACCAATGACGACATACTAGAGGCTTTGCAGGAGGAGTCCAATGTAGATGAACCTACTATGACATCACAGCATCAACCTATGACATCACCACATAAACCCATGACATCACAGCAACAATCTACACCATTATCACACAAAGCTGTAAGATCACAGGATTATATCTCAACACAAAACAAAAAAGCACAATATACTCCAAAACAAAATGAGAATACTCCCAAGAAAACCTCAGACCACTATCAATGGAAAACTCCTGTGCGACCAGACTCGGCAAAAACGGACCAATCCGACTCTGGTCTTGAATCAATTACCTCAATGTTAAGCCCAGTCATTGCAAATATATCAGACAATGAGAAACTTATTGGCAAATTGAAATTAAACACGGAGGAGAGTGGTTTGATGACGAAGGTCCAAGAGTTGAAAGGAATAGCCGATCTGCTGGAGAGTTCTGCGGGGAGGATGACATTGAGTCCCACCAATACAAGCACAGTTGTGGATACACCATTAAAGGGTAAGACATATGCTTATTTTTATGGTTTAGGCCATTCAGTTGAATATTATTTTAGTTTGTTGATTGATTGAATATTAGGAGGGTGAGAGGTGGGAAAACAAACAAGTGCATGTATAAAGAATGAAACCATGATTCAAACTATTTCAAAATTTCTCCTCTACTGTTAATTATATACATAACTGTTAATTGTATGTATAATTGACTTTCAATGTCTATATTCCACCCTACCCCCCCCCCGCCAATTAACTGATGTCAAAGACAGTGTCTGGTCTGTGGGTGTCCGTAACATTGGCGTAACAAATCTACTGCATTTTGAAATATTAAAACTGAATGTTATCATTTTCAGGTGAAGCTATGAGATGTAATGAGCAACCAACTGACTCAAAAATGAGAGGACCTCATATTGAAATGAAACCATTTTTCTGGACCAAGCTGAACTTAACCTCAAAAAGTAAGTCAAACTCATTTTGATCAAAGAAAATAGATTTGTGTTCAAAAGTTGAAACTCATTATTTTATTTCAAAATAGGTCAGAATTTAAAGGACTGTATGATACCAAAATGTGTTATAATTGAAATGCATGTCTTAGGTTTTTTATGTTACCACCAGAAGTGGTGACATATCGTTCAAATCCAATTTTTCTTGTTGATAGTGTTTAGCGATTGGTGTTTGGTGTTACGGGTCGGCATCTGTAATAAATGGCAGGTGGTGACATTTTGCATGTTGATGACTTGTCTTTTCTTATAATACTTTGAAATATTATGAAACATAATTTTTGATATTTATATTTCATTAGCTCCTACAATATGGAGTCACCTGAAAGGTCAAGGTCATACTGTGGATGCAGATGAGCTTGAAAGATTGTTTGGACGTAGCACAGACCTGAGACGTTCACTATCTTTGTATGATGAGTTGACTATAATACATGGAGTTCCCAGTACAGAGGTCAGTTTAACCAACAATTATATGCTGTTATAGTACTTCTACTTAATTTGGCAGTCATTTTAATGTGGCACATCTGCCAAATTGAGTAGCCGACAAATTCTCTGGTAATTTTAGTACCATGTAAATAAGTACCATTAGTGCATGTAATATTGCAAGTTCGCCAAATTAAGTAGCCACCAAAAGTTCACAACAGTGAATCTGCCAAAATAAGTAGCAAATTAAGAAGTACAGTATTGCATTAATAATGAGATAGATTCTATATTATTGAGACTGGTATAAAAAAAGCCATTTGGTACTTGTTAATCTGTTGTATAATGTACATGGTTGGACTATGGATGCCTTCAACAAATATTTAAATTAACTACTAGGTGCGTTCATATTAGTGGTGCAACTCGCAAGAAAAATGCTACTCGAGTAGAAAGTGTGAAAATGCCACTGTAATCGAGTACCACTCGCAAAAATGAGGGAAAAATTTAAAAAAAATAAAAAACTCACCTAGTCGACTGTTTGAAGACCAAATAGATACAATTTCTTCGTTTCTTCTATATGTTATTGATGTTATATATAGTTTGTATCAAGTTAGTGGGAATAAATGTAGTTATTCATGCCATAATTGTGTTTGTTTGTTTTTAAATATTTTCATTTTGTTTCCAGAATCGATACTTTGTTTCGTTCAGTGCATCCAAAAATGATCATTCCCGGGGTTTAAAACACTTCATAATAAAACATGCCTACTCGAGTTTGAAAAAACGTACTCGAGTAACTATCTTGGACAGGTTCAACGAGTGAGTGGCGAGTACTGGCATTCGAGTTGCACCACTAGTTCATATCCATTTACTCAGAGATGATGTTGATACAGGTTTTTGTCCATAGTAATAGTAATACATGTAGTCTTAAATTTTCCCCACTTTTCTCCTTCACTGTTGAAATTAACCAATACATTTGAAAATTTTAAATTCACTGATTTGATTGCATATCTTATAGGTAGTTCGGGTTCTTGACATAGAGAGGTCACGTGATATCACACTGAAGATGCGAAGTCTTTTCTGTAATATGGAGGAGATTAAGACTGCCATCTATACCATGGACTACAGCCAAGTCAGTCTAAACAGGTACAAAAGTACAAATATATACATATACCTATTTGTGGTGTGTCATGGTATCCGTTGACTTAAAATTGACATGTGGTGTACTTACAATTGTCTCATGGGCAGATGTTTTAAATGAGAAAGATTATATTTTAATTTTACATCTTTCAAGTGAATATATTTTTTCTTGAGGAATATCAATTGTTTGATTTCAGTCTAGAGGAGCTGTACAAAATACGGGGAACACCGAGGGAGATAAAAATGATATCTAGAGTGTTAACATCGGATAAAATTGGTTCAGTGGATTTACCAGAATTATTCCTGTTTGAGTTGTCCCAGATCTCATACTTTAGTGAGCGCATGGAGTGTATCCTATTTGAGAAGGTTGTTACTGATGAGCTCTTTAGTCTAGGTAGGTTGTCTTGATTATTGTTTACATCATTGGTTCCTTGTCAATTTAGAACCAGGTTAACTCCATCCTTGTAAGCAGGTATCCAGAATCCGCACCTCCTTCTTCCCCCTGCTATAACCAATTTGGGAGCGCCCGATTTAACTGAATCACATGATCTAATTATGCGCAATAACTAATACTTGATCTCTGGCGCAGTGTTGCGACAGCCAATCAGATTGCGAGTTCTTAATCGGGGAAATGCTAAATGTTTATCACGGGGGGGGGGGGGGAAATAAGAATATATTCTGGATTTTGAAGCCCTGTGATCGGAGGATGGGTTAACTCAGACCAGGTCTTGTAGTTAACCCAGATAGGAATTCGGAAAGACCAAGCAGATCGAATCTGTTTTGAATGTCAAATATTTAAATCATCATTTATGATCTATTTTCACTTAAAAAATGACATAATAAGAATCATGAATTTTTACTTTCCAGAATGGCTTTTTCACAATGTATCAAAAGGTTGCGTCGTAATTCAAAATAACACAACCTTGCAAAGCATTCTGGGATTGACATTGATGATTGGGAACTTCCTGAATGAAGGCACGTCACGTAACAAGGCAGATGGATTTGATATTACAGCCCTGTCTCAACTGAAAGAGATGAAAAATACGGTGAGTATTTTAGATGTACATTTATTGAAGAACACTTCAGAGTCCTAAGACAAACTGACTTAATGAACCAATGTAAGTGGAACACCTCCCAAGTGAATCACTTTTTACAGGTTCTTAAGGTGTTCCACTTAAACAGGTTTTACTTATCTCTTATGTAGAGTACCCAAAATATAATATAAGAGTGATTAGCTTGCCAGTTTTATATGTATCTGTTTTGTTATGTCAGAAGTAACATATTGTTAGTCTTGATTTTAGTAACGCTGGTAGTTGGTGTCTGTAACACTACATTTTTGTAACATTGTATATTTGAAATATTTTCTCTTGATTGGTTTGCTGGAATTGTTTTTTTGAGCTACTTTTGAAAAAGTCACTATTGAGATTAATTTTGATTTTGAAATTTTAGGCCAGTGACACCTGCCTTTTACAACATCTACTGAAAGAGGGCGCTAGTGTATGGGGCAATAACTTTAGTCTGCCAGACATTACAACCCTTAATGAGGCAAGCAAGGTAGGGTATTATAGACACTTCCTTGTCACCATTTACTACCATTTAAGGGCCATGCAGATTTTATATTTACAAAGTCCCAAATTGTCTACTTGATCCACACATTGGAAACTCAAAAGGTTGTGCCCAGTTTCTATAATAAATACATTTCACAGAGACATGACTGTCCTTCAAATAGAAAAACATTGTAAAATTACTAAGGATATTACTAATGGTAGCACTAGATGTTACTCTAGGGTCAAAGGGAAAATTTGAATGATCTCTTCAATAACAGAATACATTTACTTTGAAAAGATTTGATGCAAGCTGATGCATATAAGCATGGCCTCACATCATGTCACAAATAAACAAAAATTAAATGCACAATCTTACTTAAATATGTTCCAAGAGCAAAACACCTCAAGTATTATTTCAGATGGAATCTAAAGTTATCGAGAAGCGATTTGAAGATCTCCAGAAGCAGTTGAGTTTTCAGAGTGGACGTGTAAGTAAAGTACTCAATAGTAGCCCTGAGAGACTAAGGCAGCCCTTTAAGAACAACATGCAGCATTTACTCAAGACAGGTCAGTATGAATCATTGATTGAATACTTTCCGATTTTAATTGTTTATCCTGTACTTTTCTGTATGATAAACTTATATCCTCTTATTATGTCAAAGTGTTCGGTGTAACAAATGGCAGGTAGTGATATTTTGCATGTTAATGCCTTGTATTAGTCATGTCATTGTGATAGAATGTGGCTGTACTGTCAACATATGGCAACTCTGTCTGTCTGATATAATAAAGCATTATAGTTTCATGTAAATAAGATGACATGATGTAAAATTTTGCAACATGTAGTCTTGTCATACTTGTATTTTCACAAATCAGATGTCCAGCTTTGCCTTGAAGTTCTTTGGCATTCAGAAAAGGTTAAACTGTTAAATGCAAGATCTTCATCTTAAGTTTAAATTTTCTATTTCATTTTTGACAATGATAAAAATCACATTATCATATCTGTAATTTTTGGTTTGAGATTTTATTTATTTCCGGTAACCTCGTAAAAATGATATTTTCTAATTATAGCAGAGTCAGCTCTCCTAGAATGCAGAGAGAAGTTCAGATGCTGCAAAGAAAAGTTCCAAGAGTTGACACTCTACTTTGGCTACACTCCTAATCAACAGGTATGGACAATTTGATATGAAAAGTTTACTTTATTAGCACCATAACTGTTTGACTTAAGTTTGGAAACTGGATTTGGTACAAGTACTGACTTTGACAATACTTGAACCACATGCATGTTATACTACAAGGAAAATACCTCATTCTTGAAGATTCTTGAAAACACACAGGTGTATATTTCAAAGTCTTTATTACAAAAAAAATTCATAATAAGTTTAGTTCCAACTACCATGTATTCACTCAGGTTTACACTGAGCCCTCTGAAATCCTTTAGAACATAAAGGCAATTTGTCCATTTATTTATAATGTAAATTTTTCTAGCTTGTAAATTTCTTTATTGAGAGGCAATATGCTGTCTCTAAATATTATTGTTAATTTTTATTATATTTTTGCAGGTGTCTCCATATGAGTTCTTCACTCTATTGTCAAAGTTCTGCAAAGATTGTGAGATGTTATATGCGAAACAGCAGCAGAAGGCAATCAAAGACAGACTAGAGAGAGACTTTAAATATGTGGCTCAAACAACTGTCAATCAGTCTGGTTTCTATAGTGACCATGAAAATCATAGCCATGACACACCACACAAAACTAAAAATGAGCCACCACATGTGGATAACCTGGAATGCCAAAGTAGTACACTGGAAAGAAAGAAGAGCTACTCTACCAGTAGTATCCATAAGACTAGTCAGGGTAAGCTTAATTCAGCTATCCAGCCCCCTGGGCGTAATCGACCAGTATCTATGGTGGGCCCTGATTTTAAAAGTGTCCAGTTCCAACATCTGAAGCCAGGTGGCTCTGGATACAACAGTGATGATTCACTAAGACATAATCGCAGCCAGAGTGATATTCTGATTGGTCAAGAAAGTGGAATACCACGGTTTTCTGGACGGTCAAAGAAATACCAGAATGGTCCATCAAATCAGAAATTATCATCTAAAGAACGCGTAAGTACTGGATCCAAACATCAAGAACAACGCCATTATTCCCCACCCAGAGACACTCACTACAATCACAAGGATCATTCCCCACTGAGGGGTCAGTCCCGGGGTACCAGAGATGTTACACCCCCTAGGTATAAACCACAAGCCCAGAGCACCCCTTCCAAATCAGACAACAGAGGACTAGCATCCCCACCTCAGAGTCTTCCAACCAATGATTCTCCTCCCTTGAAACCACCTCGATCTAAACAAAATAACACTGAGAAACCTAGGGAGGTGATTCACCAAATAGAACAGCCTAATGGCTACCCCACTTCTCCAGTGAACTCCGATTTTCAGATGACACCTGATTCCACCATGGAAAGCAGCCCCAATGGTAAAATAACTAAAAGTGGCTCTTTTAGAGGGGCTAACGATGCGTTTACTCGTAGTACTCTCATGACAAAGTTTGCCCAAGGGAGGCAGTCTCTGACCCGTAAAGATATAGTCCCCTCTGCTATAAACCGCATGATACAGAAGGCTAAAGGTGGGCCATTCTCTCCTCGTAAGTCTGGAGAAACCTCTGAGAAAGAGAACATTGTTCCTATAGCAACAACCAATCACGACTCACCTGAATGTAATGAGCCACCTCCCTATGAGAGACCCCCACCTCCATATGAACACCACCCACCACCTTATTCAAAGTCTAGCTATGACAAGCCATTGAGTATAGACACTTCAAATAATGCTGCAAATTATTACACCATGCAGCATAGTGATGGGCTGTCCCAGCAAAGTGCCACACCCCCCTTACCAGAGAGACAACCATTGAAGCCTCAGGTGCCGAATTATATGAATATACCACATATGGAAGAGCCCCCTGGGCCTGGGGATGTGCCTCCACCCTTACCCCCTAGACCTCGCACCCTAAGTATCATATGTGAGGGTAGTACAATCAGTTCCGACCCCAACACCCCTGTAGCAAAGAACCCCACGGATATGTCTGATAGTATCATGGAGGTGGCATCTACCTTGAGGCCACGCGACCGAACCCCTATATCTCCAAATATGGCAATGAGAGATTATTACGATCTGGGTCAAAATCAAAGAGAGTTATCTCCAGATAAACCGGCAGGTTTCCAAACTACACCGAAAATTGAAGATGAGGAAATGATTCCAAATCCTAGATATAGGGGGCGTGGTGGGAGATACAGTAGTCTTGAAAATACATCAGATCAGGGGTCAATTGTAGGGTCAATAGGTCAAGGTCAAATTGTTCACAATTCATATAGCAATCATAGTTCAATGGATAGCCTCAGACCTGGCTCTACGAATGGAACTCCTGTGAAATTACAATCAAGTTATGCTCATGGATCTACTCCAAATATGCCCCTGAATTCAAATGGATCTACCCCAAATGTGTCCTTGAATTCAAAAGATTCAACCCCGAAAAAATCTGCTCCTTCAGAAACCACACCCTCACCATCCAAAAGTGGATTCTCAAAATCTAAACTTTTTTCTAAATTTCGTGGAAAAGATAAAGATAAATCCCCACCTAAAGAATCGCACAAAAAGTCATCCTCAATCCCAGTATCTAGCATCAGTCCAAATTCAACAAAATCTGGGTGGACTCGGTCTTCACTCAGGGAAACAAAAACTAATGGCTATGAGAGTAGTACGAGTAGTGGGCCAGTAGAGGAGACTAAATCTCAAAATAACTACAGGGATGCTATCAGGCGCATGGCACACAACACATTTGATAGGAAAAGCCGTAAACCAATGAAAGTTTAGATGGCGTAAGATGCAAAATTTAAACACTTGAGTGTCATGAAAATTATGGTTAGGAAATTGTACGCTTGTATGGCTAGAAAAAATGCAAAAATTCACAAGTAAGTTAAAGGAACATTCCTGGCCAGACCATTTCTCTCCTAATATGGTAGCTATAACCATATATATACTTTCCATATTTAGCAAAACAGGGGAAAATGTTTTAATATAGTCAATATTGATCACTTGAAAATGTAGTGCTGAATTCCAGTAGGCTGCCATCTTTTAGTATTTCACTCAGGAAGTGATGTCATCGACTCTCAACTTTGCAAATAACATTATAAGGAGCTATTAAGAATTACAAAAACCAGCTGTGCATTCTTTTTCAATTTTGTCTATGATTTAATCCTTCTATAAGTCTCTTCTATTATTCTAAGCTGACAAACTCTGAAAATATTTTTGCACATAAAGTAAGAACCACTTGTCTAGAAGTGATTTTGTGCTACTTCCCTATACTGTTATATGCAAGGTCATGGAAGTTGAGAGTCGATGACATCACTTCCTGAGTAAAATCTTAAAAGATGGCAGCTTACTGGAAATGAGCACTACATTTTTAAACTACCAATATTGACTATACAAAAACATTTCCTGGTGTTTTGCTAAATATGGAAAGTATATATATGATTATAGCTATCACATCAGGATAGAAAAGGTTTGGCCAGGAATGTTCCTTTAAGTTAAGGAGAATGTAATTAATAGATTTATTGCAATGAAATGAAATATGTAAATGAAATTCAAATCACATTAATAAGTAGATGTAGGGTGTAGTAATTTAGTTAGTAAAATGTGACATCCCAAACATGGGAGGATAATAATGCAATGTAAATGTACACCCCCTCCAAAGGTTTGTTATTTGGAAATCCACCTTAGATACAACCCCCTCCAAAAGTTTGGTATAGTGTAAGCATGTTAATGTTTGAATCTGGTTGGTTTCTTTACAACAGGTCAGGTTTATAAATGTGAATTTGTTTAAATTGCCAAACATAAGCAGGTTCTATTTAATACGAGACTTCCTGTTTCCAAACCTTTTGAGGGGAGTGTAGTTAATATTACATCAGGTACACTATCATCGTGATATTTTTTTTTCTGAGGTGTTGTGAAACAGGATTTATATTTTTGATTCAATAAAAATGTAAAATTAAGGTGGGTTTGGTGGAATTAAAAATGATGAGTGCAGGTCAAAAAGTCTTCCACTCTGCCTTCCTTAAGAGTTCAGTGTTCTTAGGATTTTTATCAAATTTTGGTGCTGCATGATTTATTGTCTGTTACCATGGTATTTTATTGTTTGTTACCATGATATTTCATTGTTTGTTACCATGGTATTTTATTCATCTTGCAATAAGATTTATGCTGTTCAACAAGACAGTTTTGTAGCAATCAGGAATCAGAATTTGTAATTTTTTATTACAAGTTGGTTTGTGTATACATGTCTGTCTCTCTATTCATTTGGTTTTATTGTTTTATATTGTATCACTTGTACTTGAATAGTGTTTGTTATTGTAAAATTATTTTGGATGTTTTATCTGTAATGTTATAAATCCTGCATATGGGTTGATGGTATTTGTACTTATGTATCATAGACGAATGATATGTTTAAATGAATGAGGTTGACTCATGCTAAGTACTGATTAGTGTTGATGCTAAATGCTGTCTATATTTACATGTTTCCAAAATTATCAGAGATGTTGAATTATTCATTATTTGAATTTTAATGTTTTTTGTGTATAAATTATTTTTTGATTTGAATGTTTCTTATATATATATTTGATATTATACAACAAAGCGTGGTAGATTTTTGATATATATTATACAACTTTATTGTTCTATACTTTTGAATATCCATTGTGTACTCTGTTTAGAGTACATTGCATATATGTATGATTACAGTAATTAAAAAAAGTGGAAGCAACTCCATTCTAGACACCGGTTCGATTGGATTGAATATTTAAGTTATCTGCAATACTTTGCATATAGCGTGATTTTATGATTAACAGCTGAAATACATTTTGGCATATCAATTTGCAAAATTCATTTATATTTCAGTTTTACAATTGTGTAATAATTTTTGCATGCAATGCATAAATCTTGTGTAAATGAACAGTGAATACCTTGAAATGTGAACTCCTTGAAATGTGAACACCTTGAAATATGAATACCTTGAAATATGAATACCTTGAAATGTGAATACCTTGAAATGTGAACACCTTGAAATGTGAACACTCCTGTTATTTTGACATTTTTAAACTTTACTCACTTTTTCTCCCATTTTCACTTTATATTTTAGAGATTATATGATAGGAGATTTCAGAATGGTTTATATTTTATCAGCTGTGTATTAATGTATATGATATAAAGACATGCATGACAAACATCATATGATGTAAAATATTTTATACCAATTTATAATAAATCATATAAAAACATGTACATTTTCTCCGTCTTGTCTAGTTAATAAGTCCGAATGACTTCTTAATACACATACTCTACTTCATTAAACAGATAAGGTAGATGAACATTATGTACTAACAGCCACATTTGTCAGATGATAAAAAAAATATCTAATTTTTCAACATATTAGCAGCAAAGATATGCCTTTGAGATTCTTGAATATGTCCCAATTGAAAATGTTAATAACATCTTTGGTGTAACTATTTTCATAGTTTTACATATAACTGATAACTGTATTATATACTATAGACAAAAAAATGTTAAAACTGTATAGTGACCCACATGTCGGAGAAACTGACATGTTTCAAAGTCAATAAAAAAGATATATAGTATATGTGATGAACCTCCATATGTACATGTCTACCTATATAGACCTATGATGTTTATAATTAAAGTTGCAGACTTACAAGTAAATCAAGAGACCTTCACCTTTTGATTTAACTCTAACCCAGAATATGCATGTACATCCTGTAAAACAGCAAGTCTTAAATTGTTTTCTTTGTCAAAGTTTGAATAACTTCTAATCAACCATGCTTCAGAATATGAAAACTATCAAATATTTTATCCTTCATATTTTCAAATTATCCAACCAGATAAAAACACAGTAGGAACTAATTATTTATCTGTTATCTTTGAACTGCATAAGAAAATACATTTCTGTTTTACATATACATGTAATATATATACATGTATATAAAAGTTGAAGATAAAATTCTTTCCCCAGTCGCCACTCTACTGCACATCGTTCAGTGTTTCCCCCTTTGGAAATGCAAAGGTCCTCATTGCGGCCTGACATTCGGGGGAATTCCATGCATCTTGAAATATTTCACTACTTGTTGGGGAACTTCAGCTAACACATGTCTTGCAAGTTCAGCTGGTGATGCCTGAAAATATAAAGACATAAGAAGATTATAAATATTGCAGCATGTTTGATTGTCTTCAGTGAATCTTGGCCTTCCATAGTCTACTTTATCAATCACTAAAAAAATAAAGTCGCATGCCCAATCTAAATCTTCAACGAACTATTCATCAAATATAAAAGCTAAAATGTATAAAAGAGAAAGTTAATATGAACTAATACTGAAATTACATCATTCTTAAATATCTGCCTGTAAGTACATAGTAAATAAAACATGTTTGTTTAAGAGGCCATAAACAGGAGCAGTCCTTGCCAGTCGCCAGGCCTGTTTAAAGTTAAAACCACTTTGGCGTGTATGTTTCAGTCTTTCCCAGTGGTATCAAATTAAAAATATTGCCATTTGTGAATTTTTTTCATTCCCAAATGTTGTTACGGTAACAGGGGGTTATTTAAGAAATGTTACTGCATATGAATATAGAAGTTATTTTTACAAAATCCCAACTGGTTGAATACATACATTTCTGAAGTCTCTGAAAGGCACAAACTGCACAATGTCACGCTTGACTGGGTCACCAGAAGGACCTCTTAGCACACCATTGTCACCATCAAGCACCTGGGGATAAAAATTCAATCAAATATTGTTCAATCAACACCCTCGTCCATCTTAAGGTACATTGTATATGGAACCGTTGTAGCATGGAACATTAAAGTACATCCAAAAATAAGTGGCTTTTTTATTGTTTTTGAGACAATATCAACAAAATCAGATAATGGGTCAAAACAAGTTTGAAAAATACAAAGCAGCAAATTATTTCAAAGTACATCCAAAATTAATGGATTAAAGCCAACTCTGGAAAATTCATTATAGCATTTTATATTTCAGGTATATCCAAAGTAGGTGGCTTTTTATTTATTTTACAGAAAATATCAACAAATTAGATTTAAAGGTTAAAACCTGTTATTATCTGAATTAACACCCTGCATTTTAGCAGGTTAAGGTTTTTATTGTATTCATGAATTCTTTTTTACTTACATTCATATCAGTGAAATCTGCGTTGCCGACACCCACTATGATGAGTGACATGGGAAGGTGGGAGGCATAAACTATTGCCTGGCGGGTCTCGTTCATATCTGTGATGACGCCATCTGTGATCAGCAAGAGCACACAATAAGACTGGAATAAAGAATAGCACACAATTGAAATGGAATAGCACACAATATTGGATTAAAGCAATAGCATACAATTAAAATGTAGGAATATCACGCAATATGACTGGAATAAAAGTATAACACACAATTTAAATGTAGGAATAGCACATAATATGACTGGAATAAAACAAAAGCACACATTTATTGAAATGTTTGAATAGCACAATTTAAATGTTGGAATAGCTTAATTTATAATATGACTGCAAAAGAGAAAACCACAATGCTCAACATACAAAGGTTCCAAATAATTGGGAAAATATTCAAGTTCTCTTATATTTAGCTTAAGATTCCATAAATGTGCATTTACCCAAATGATAAACACAAGTAAATCTACTTTTACCTTTGCACCAGGCTCCTTTTGGGCTGCAGCAGCAAACTGAGCAACATGGTATATAACAGGAGATGCATTGGTTGGTCCATATAGTTGTACTTGAGATATACATGCTGTATATGTCTGTACCACACCTTGGATACCTGTAACAAATGTCATATATTCAACATAAACAACATGGTATATAACAGGAGATGCATTGGTTGGTCCATATAGTTGTACTTGAGATATACATGATGTATATGTCTGTACCACACCTTGGATACCTGTAACAAATGTCATATATTCAACATAAACAACATGGTATATAACAGGAGATGCATTGGTTGGTCCATATAGTTGTACTTGAGATATACATGATGTATATGTCTGTACCACACCTTGGATACCTGTAACAAATGTCATATATTCAACATAAACAACATGGTATATAACAGGAGATGCATTGGTTGGTCCATATAGTTGTACTTGAGATATACATGCTGTATATGTCTGTACCACACCTTGGATACCTGTAACAAATGTCATATATTCAACATAAACAACATGGTATATAACAGGAGATGCATTGGTTGGTCCATATAGTTGTACTTGAGATATACATGCTGTATATGTCTGTACCACACATTGGATTCCTGTAACAAATGTCATATATTCAACATAAACAACATGGTATATAACAGGAGATGCATTGGTTGGTCCATATAGTTGTACTTGAGATATACATGATGTATATGTCTGTACCACACCTTGGACACCTGTAACAAATGTCATATATTCAACATAAACAACATGGTATATAACAGGAGATGCATTGGTTGGTCCATATAGTTGTACTTGAGATATACATGCTGTATATGTCTGTACAACACCTTGGATACCTGTAAAAAATGTCATATATTCAATATAAACAATTGGTACTACAGATAAATAACTTTGATACGTAGAAACATTCCTGAAAATTTCAGATGAATCTGTCAAATGGTTTGGCTGGAAACCTATAGACAAGTTGAAAAGTGAGACGCCGCCCGCCCGCCCCCGCCCGCTGCCTGTCCGTCAAGCTGACGACAATATCGTACCTTTATTAGGTACGATAAAAATGGCATTGATCTTACGTTTTCATCCAACACAAATTATATCATACAATATCTTCTTAGAAATTAAAAATCATAAAAGAACTGATTTTAAAAATTCTGCATACCCCAAGAATACGCCTTCAATTCCACTTGCAATTGTAAGGTTCCCTCACCATTATCAATATATTGTCATGATTTTGCGTAAGAGTCTATGCAATATTAAGGTGGACCATCATATGCAATCCAAAATGTAAAAAGGTCATTCATTGGTCAATTAACCAGGGAAGAATTTATAAAGCCATTGTTGTACAATGATATAATACTGTTGTTGTAAGGTAAAAGATTGAATTCTTAATTTTAAAAAGTTTCTGTTAATATCTCCAAGCTTTTCACTTCCACCCGCCTACCTTAATGGTAACTTACCAGCAAAGAAAGGATTTGAGAGGTTGAAGTTGCAGGCAAACTCATGTGAGACTCAACTCTGCCTACCTTAATGGTAACTTACCAGCACAGAAAGGATTTGAGAGGTTTAAATTGCAGGCAAACTCATGTGAGACTCAACTCTGCCTACCTTAATGGTAACTTACCAGCACAGAAAGGATTAGAGAGGTTGAAGTTGCAGGCAAACTCATGTGAGACTCAACTCTTCCTACCTTAATGGTAACTTACCAGCAAAGAAAGGATTTGAGAGGTTGAAGTTGCAGGCAAACTCATGTGAGACTCAACTCTGCCTACCTTAATGGTAACTTACCTGCACAGAAAGGATTAGAGAGGTTGAAGTTGCAGGCAAACTCATGTGAGACTCAACTCTGCCTACCTTAATGGTAACTTACCAGCACAGAAAGGATTTGAGAGGTTTAAATTGCAGGCAAACTCATGTGAGACTCAACTCTGCCTACCTTAATGGTAACTTACCTGCACAGAAAGGATCTGAGAGGTTGAAGTTGCAGGCAAACTCATGTGAGACTCAACTCTGCCAACCTTAATAGTAACTTACCTGCACAGAAAGGATCTGAGAGGTTGAAGTTACAGGCAAACTCATGTGAGACTCAACTCTGCCTACCTTAATGGTAACTTACCAGCACAGAAAGGATTAGAGAGGTTGAAGTTGCAGGCAAACTCATGTGAGACTCGACTCTGCCTACCTTAATAGTAACTTACCTGCACAGAAAGGATCTGAGAGGTTGAAGTTACAGGCAAACTCATGTGAGACTCAACTCTGCCTACCTTAATGGTAACTTACCAGCACAGAAAGGATTAGAGAGGTTGAAGTTGCAGGCAAACTCATGTGAGACTCAACTCTGCCTACCTTAATGGTAACTTACCAGCACAGAAAGGATTAGAGAGGTTGAAGTTGCAGGCAAACTCATGTGAGACTCAACTCTGCCTACCTTAATGGTAACTTACCAGCACAGAAAGGATTTGAGAGGTTGAAGTTGCAGGCAAACTCATGTGAGACTCAACTCTTCCAACCTTAATAGTAACTTACCTGCACAGAAAGGATTTGAGAGGTTGAAGTTACAGGCAAACTCATGTGAGACTCAACTCTGCCTACCTTAATGGTAACTAACCAGCACAGAAAGGATTAGAGAGGTTGAAGTTGCAGGCAAACTCATGTGAGACTCAACTCTGCCAACCTTAATAGTAACTTACCTGCACAGAAAGGATCTGAGAGGTTGAAGTTACAGGCAAACTCATGTGAGACTCAACTCTGCCAACCTTAATAGTAACTTACCTGCACAGAAAGGATCTGAGAGGTTGAAGTTACAGGCAAACTCATGTGAGACTCAACTCTGCCTACCTTAATGGTAACTTACCAGCACAGAAAGGATTAGAGAGGTTGAAGTTGCAGGCAAACTCATGTGAGACTCAACTCTGCCTACCTTAATGGTAACTTACCAGCACAGAAAGGATTAGAGAGGTTGAAGTTGCAGGCAAACTCATGTGAGACTCAACTCTGCCTACCTTAATGGTAACTTACCAGCACAGAAAGGATTTGAGAGGTTGAAGTTGCAGGCAAACTCATGTGAGACTCAACTCTGCCTACCTTAATGGTAACTTACCAGCACAGAAAGGATTTGAGAGGTTGAAGTTGCAGGCAAACTCATGTGAGACTCAACTCTGCCTACCTTAATGGTAACTTACCAGCACAGAAAGGATTTGAGAGGTTGAAGTTGCAGGCAAACTCATGTGAGACTCAACTCTGCCTACCTTAATGGTAACTTACCAGCACAGAAAGGATTTGAGAGGTTTAAATTGCAGGCAAACTCATGTGAGACTCAACTCTGCCTACCTTAATGGTAACTTACCAGCACAGAAAGGATTAGAGAGGTTGAAGTTGCAGGCAAACTCATGTGAGACTCAACTCTGCCTACCTTAATGGTAACTTACCAGCACAGAAAGGATTAGAGAGGTTGAAGTTGCAGGCAAACTCATGTGAGACTCAACTCTGCCTACCTTAATGGTAACTTACCAGCACAGAAAGGATTTGAGAGGTTGAAGTTGCAGGCAAACTCATGTGAGACTCAACTCTGCCAACCTTAATAGTAACTTACCTGCACAGAAAGGATTTGAGAGGTTGAAGTTACAGGCAAACTCATGTGAGACTCAACTCTGCCTACCTTAATGGTAACTTACCAGCACAGAAAGGATTAGAGAGGTTGAAGTTGCAGGCAAACTCATGTGAGACTCAACTCTTCCTACCTTAATGGTAACTTACCTGCACAGAAAGGATTAGAGAGGTTGAAGTTGCAGGCAAACTCATGTGAGACTTCCATCTTTGGGGGAACTCTTGCACCAAAGCCAAGACAGGGGAACATCTTATCACTGCAATGCAAAACAGACAAGTTTGTTATTCAGGTCTTGCAACATTTATACACTATATATGGCATTACAGGCAAAATGTCACCACCTGTTAATGGCTATGAAACCATTGGTGCCAAATGCCAGACAAAGAAAATGTGGCTAGAATGATGTTTCCAATTTTTGAGGTGATATAGAATGGAATCATTAATGTTAAGACTAATTTAGGTTATGTGTTTTTCTCTTAATAAGAAATAAAATTTTGGGGACTTTAGTTCAATATTGCAAAACAGTGACTGCCAAAACAACAATTTCCAAAACTTAAAGTTTCTCTTTGTGTCTCATTTTACTTGAAATTACCTGTCATAATCCTGTATTACATTCCCTACAGCTTGAATTGCTTTCATGTATTCATTTGGTTCATATGGGTTGATATAATGTAATGACTGGGGGGTAGCTGGGTTACCATTGGAAGCAGTAAAGTCAATGCCAAACTGAAACATATATTCAAAATATCAAGTTTATTGAGGCTGCAATAAATGAATTACGATCTTAAGCATATCCTCCCTTACTTTTTGTTAAAACTTGTTTAAAAATAAGGTACATGCTCAGTCTTGGTTGCACTCAATAACTGTAAGAAACCAAGTGAATGATGGTGGTCCATGTAAAATGGAAAATAAACTATGTGATTACACATTTCATCTAATTTGAGGCAATTACTGTATATGTTTTATAGTAGATAATAATCTTATATTGAGAATTTGAGAGAAAAAATAAAGTTTTGCCCTCTTGCTTTCTAATATGATACAAGACAATAAAATACAATACAATACAAAACAATACAATGCAAAACAATACAATTCAATACAATACAATGCAAAACAATACAACTTAATACAATATAATGCAATACAATAAAATAATACATTGCAATGGAATACAATATAATTCAGTATAATTCTAACTTACAGTTATGTTGATTTGGAGTCCACCAAATATGTAATCCAGGAATGAATGAACCTTCACCACCTGAAAAATTGAAACGATGAGGCTGTTATAGATGTTGAGACTAATATAACTGATTTTATAATATGAATGAAAAAAATTGAAATCATCCGAAGATTGCTCCTGTTGCTCAGTGGTAGTGCACTTGTCTGGGGAATGAGGGGTCATAACTTCGGTCAGAGGTGGACTGACTTTTTCACATCAGCCCTCAGCCCGTGATTTCATTCTCTGTTTTCAGAAATCTCATTAAGAAAGGTAGATATTGTCAAAATCTTGTAAATGTTATCCAATAATGTAGTCTGATTCTATAAGGCTTATAGCCTCAATTGTGCCGACACAAGAGACTGTGACCCGAGACCTTGAACTCTTAGTGACCTTGACCTTGTATGATGATGACACTCAACAAGTGTGACCTTGACCCTTTGTGTACATATGCAAAGCCTTTAGATAATAGCAACAGTTGAAAAGTAGCTCTCAAAAAGTTAAATTGAACTTCAGAATACTCTTACCTTACATGATGTACAATGGACCACCCCTGAGTTCTTGTAGCTTTTCTTCTTTGCCTTTTTCTTAGGGTTGATACAATCCCACTAGAAATACAGAGTTTTAATTATAAGTTGATTTCACACATACAAGGGCAGCCTATAAGTTTTGAATTCAAACTAGTTCTTTATCTTAGAGTTTTTATTATTCAAGGCTGAAATTACATTGGTATATTGATGAAAAAATTTCTGATTGACGGCCTTAAACAATAAATCTAAGACAATTAGTTCTGAACTTCTGGAACAATAATATATAAAGATCAAAATGAATATTATCATTTTAACATGTGCACCCATGTGCACCCATCTGCACCACCAGGGACTTTTTTATAAGAATTTCTGACAACAGTTACAAATAATGAAAACCACAGGCAAAATTATTGGAAATTATATTGATAAAACAGTCTAAGTACAAAACTCCTTAGAATACAACAGCCAATTTTGGTCAAAGCAATCAAAAATTTGACCCGTTTGCTTTATGTATCAGGATTTATGATAATCCCAATCCTCCGTTGAGTATACCTTGCATTAAGTTACTCCGAAAATATATTGATTAAAAATAAAAGTACACTAGAGTACAGTAGAATTGGTTCCACATGCAAATAATTCCTTACAATTTGATGTTTATCTTTTGTCCAGTTGTCAATAGTGATCAATACATTTGTAGAAAAAGAGTGATCCCTCCACCCAATAAAGTGATAAGTAAAACAGAATTCAATGGATTAGCTTAAAATATTTTAATCTACATGTATTGAGGAAAGAAAAGGAAGGATACCTTGCATCAATATATCTCTTGTGTTTCAGAGGTAAAGTAAGTCTATCACTATTATTTATAAAAGCAACAATATATGGAAAAGTTATTTTTACAAGCTTGATGTTTTACAAATACTTGTATACCTGTTTTTGGGTCTGGTTTCTTGTTTTAATCAGAGTAACAAAAACTAATACATGTACAACTTTTTTTCACTTTACTGTACTTAATTAATTAAAATTGTATTGCACATGAGTAATAATGCAATGCTGTATAATCCAAAGCAATGAATGTATGGATTTGTATTGTAATGTATATGTACCCTCTTGCTTATCAGCCCTCTAAAAATTGGGATTAATATGACAATTTTGAAAATATACAGTAAATCCTATTTCTATGAAATGCCTCTCTGTTCTTAAGGAAAGCCTCTCTATATATGAAATGTTTTCCAAAAATTTTCAACAGAACCTACCATAACTTCAATGACCTATATGAGATGAACATGTTAATGGACACTCTCTGCAAGACACACTGTCTACAAGAAACAATATTGGCAAATCTTCCGCATACAGGGCTTCTGACAACATCTACTGTATGAAGGAGAGAACAAAGTGGACGTCGTCTATAGCCCTGCATTTTGGGGAGGGTTTGGGCAAATAAGAAGGTGTAACACAGGCCCACCCTCTCCCCCACAGCCAAAGTCAAAGATTCTTTCAACATCATGCAGTTTTCAACATTTTGAGTTTGATTTTGGGTCAAAAGTGGAATATTTTTAGAAACTGAACCCCCTTGTCAAAAGATGCCTACAGACTTGTTACATACATACAGGTTTTATTTTATTCAATAAAATAAACACACTGGTAGCTACTGAATATCATTAATTTCATTCAACTTGATATTCAGAAATAACTTCCATGATTATATATTTAATACAATGATTACAGCAGTTAAAACTCTCCATTTTATAATTCAGAAATATATTTCAATGTTCTAAAACTATTATCCTGTATCCTTTTAATCATTCACTGACATCTATGAACATTAATCATGCAGTTAACCAAGTGGAAATTGAAAGCTGATTGTTATAAAATTCTAAAACAATGCAGCTTTTAACAAAAATAAAATAAAACACATTTCGCAAAACCATTTTGTCCATCATTGCTCAGCAACCTACTGACCCTTTGAAGAAGTTACATTAAAATCCAAGTAATAAGAAACAAGGCATTACCATGCAAAATCTCACCAGACCTGCCATTTGTCACAGACACTGAATGCCAAACACCAACTGCCAAACCCAATACACAAGAAAGTTGGAGGCAATACAGGGTGTCCGGAAAGTAAAGATACAAATGCTCTAATTTCAATAGATTTACCTGTTGTGAGATGAAATTGCTACATATTGTAGATTGATATTATGATAATATATCCTGCAACTGTCATGACAAATTGTTTCAAAATAAAAAGGTTATGGTTGTTATGGTAACAGGAGTCGCAGGTATGTGGAGCAGCGTCACAATTATGTTTTATAATTCTTTTCTCCTGTTCGTATCATGTTGACACTCCATCGTCTGTTGCTATTATACATCAGATTATGTAACACAACAGCAAGGGATTAGTACTGTAACATTATTTATTCATTTGACACTATTACTGTTATCCAGTATTATGTATTTCCATTATCTAAATATTCTTTGTGCATTTTGATCGGAGATTCAAAGACTTGACAAAACCACTGCTGTCAATCTCTAAGATTGCTGATAACATTGAGCCGAGTCTTATTTTTATGTTGAACTTTTAACAAATATTGCTTTAGTTATTCATTAATGTAGAAATCCAACGGGCCATTATCAGGGTAATATGGGCCATTGTGCAAAAAGGTATAATGTCAAGACATCCGATTGTAAAATTTGTTTTCTTTTGCTTTGTGAATTGGTGCATTGACTGAGGAGGTGGACTGTTGACTTTCCTATTAATCCAGGGACCCCTTTTCTAAGCACTCGTATTCTTTTTCTATGATTATACTGGTGACATGACATAGTTATGATATGTATCAATGATATCATTATACTAAAGAGAAAACTATGGCAGCAAGAATACAATATCGAACAAAATAAAACATTGATAAAAAATGCAATAATAAACACTGTTTCAAATGGTTATATTTTTGCAATTCATCACAATTTAGCGATATCCTGGAACTGCTCCGCATACCCCTCACCACCGTAACTATGACAACCGTAACTTAAACGAGTTTAGAATATTATGTTTTAAAAGTTGGTAGATGTATTGTAATATAGTTCCTCTACAATCTGTAGCAATTTCATTACAAAAAATCTAAATCTATTAAAATTAGAGTATCTGTATCTTTACTTTCCGGACACCCTGTATGTCACCACATAGAAATGTGCATCTCATATAATTCACACATAGCTCGAGGCATGCATTGTCACCTTTTTTCAAGACACAATAATGCAAAACAAGAGAGTGATATCATCTACTTATCGTATATATATATGCCTACACTCGTATATCTGGTGTTTAGAGATTCATGCAATGTAACTCATGCATGATGACACTTATCAATGATGGTCATGATACCAATCAGCCTTTAATCCAAAAATATATTTTATTGGTTAATAGCCTATTGTTCATTTGGATATGTTTTTCGAATATTGAATGTTTCAGTATTTCTAACATATTGCGAAGAGTTCTATTTCTAAAGCATGTGCTTATATATTAAATGTTCTACACAATTTTACACGAGTCAATAAATATTAAAAATAGAAAATTACTGCAAATCGGTAGATTTATCTTAGCAAATAGGAAAGATAATCCCTACACTCTATTCCATTGGAGAGTGTCCAAAAATTACATTTAAAAAAAATTGAGAGGCAAATCAACATTGTGTTTTAAAGGGGGGGGGGGGGGGGTCTTTTTTCCACAACTGGTAACAATTTGACACCATCCTTAAAGTAGGTTTTATAAACTAGCTCTGGTCAGAAGTCACTCAGAGCAACATTTGAAATACAAAAAACATTTAAGTCCCAATTAAGATACCAATATTCACTCATTATGACATTTCGCAACATTTTACCACTCTTTTGAAATGGTATTACATTTTACATGTTAACATACAATTCTAATTGTAATTCAAACTATTCAATGACATTTTGTAATTGTGCATATGGCAAATTAATATATATAGATCATGACTTTTGCATCATCATTTATAATTTTATCTACTGAAAACTGCATACTACATTGCATATTGAAATCATAATAATAACAGACTGTACAGGGTGAATTAAGCTTATCATTTCAGAGTTCTACATAAACAGATAAATCGTCCATGCATTAAAGAAAAACGTTGCATTAATTTCTTTGATTAAAGCGTATTTGCACAATGTTGTACAGCGCTGTATATGATATTGCATTTCAAAGAATATAAAGGATAAAGTTTACTTAGGCAGTTCTAATTGATCTTTCAAGTCCTTAACTTATTTCTGCATCTTTGAACATCTTATTAGAATAGTAGGACAGCATGGAACAAGAACAAGAAAAGGGAGAGGAAACATGTGAGATGTTACACTTTTATGATCATTTTAAAAAAAATGTAAAATTACCATGATAACGGGAAAGATAATAATTATTGCATCTTGGGAAATAGGAATCAAACTTCTTATGATGGGGTATAAACTAGTTGATTATTTTGTCAGTAATAATTTTAAATGTTGAATTTTTGTTCCAGGTCTGACAGAAAAGATGGGTCAAGGAGAAGGGTCAGGCAAAGGAGGACTCTGCCCAGGGATCCTGTGGGGAATACTATGGTTCCTAATACTATGGTTCCTCGCATGGCCATTTGCATTTTTTATTGCATGGTGGTATATATTATTTCTACCATTCTGTGCATGTATCGACCCCTGCAAGGGTGTTTGTGAGACCCTACTAAAGCTTGTACAGCTGCCATTGACTTGTGCTGAGAATATGATTGCCATGAAACCTCTATGTGGATGATCATGACTTTTATGTGGTTGCTCATGGATTAGCAGACGACAATTGGATTTACTCGAAAATAGTGCCTATTACATTTTAGACAATTAATAACATTTTTAACTTCAATTAGATAATTATAGAATTATATCAATACATCTGGTGCTTTAAAGATGCAGACCTAAAGTATCTCCAGTGTTTACATATAATAACTGGTGCAGCTAGAATTGGTCTGAATCTTTAATCAACTTACTTTTTTTGATAATGTTATGTCTTTAGTATTTCTATGTATTTATTTAGATAAGAATATGAAAATGTTTTTAGTATAATTATTATTTAATACACAACATGATACAAATATACAATATTTTGTTAAGATTCAAATCAGGATGACTGTACAAACCAATTTCTCTTTGATCTAAAGGACGATTCTCGGTTTGGAGAACAGTCTCCTGGGCTGATAATTTTTTTCATGAAAAATATAGAAATATTACCCAAATTAAACTATAAATATTCGAAAGAGGACATTTAAATCTACAAGATGTAAAAATAACAAATTGGTCTGAAGCAGGGATAATGCTCAAATAGACCGATTCAATAAAATACAAGTCTCGATTTTGTGGAAAGAAGTTCATCGGTGTACTGCGCTAATATTTTTTTGCGAAAAATCTAGAAATATTACCCAAATTAAATTATGACTATTCAAAAGAAGACATTCAAATCTATATTATGTAAAAAAATCAAATTTGTCCGAAGCAGGGATAATGCTCATTTAAATTGATGAACTTCGTTCTCCAAACCGAGAATCGTCCTTTGATTGTAGACATTGCTTTAGTCTCCAACCAACAAACTTGGCGAGAGAACACAACATTGAGTTTGCCATGTGCTCTTGAAAATCATTCATTTGCAAATAGTACCCATTTCAAATATTATTCAATGAAAATATTTGTGAGAATGGTAATTGTATTGAAATTAAAATTTCATTCTGCCATATATAATAGACTCCATGCTCAAAAACCTTGAAATGTGAACGTCCACGTATCTACACAATTTCGGCAGGTCCCATCAGACAAATTTTACTAATACAAGGCTTAAATTCAGTGCTAGCTTTAAAGGAAAATTCTGGATTTGAGAATGCATTGAACTCCAGCAATTTCCTATGCTAGTTCTTTCCTAGGGTTACATGCATGCATATTATCATGTTTGATCTGCATTGCCAATTCAATATTGCAAAATTAATCATGTAAAATGTTTATTAATCAATGCAGAATATTGATAGAAGTTAGTATTGAAAACGACATATGTTGCAAATCGCTAAATAAATACAGTGTATGCTGCAAAATACTAGATAATCTTTTAAAATAGTTCTCATATTATAATTGCAGAACATCCAATAAAAAATAATTGAATGAGTTAATCTGATAGTTGCTATGGTAACCTAATTATACAATAAATTAATGGTAATTATTGAAACTGTTCCACTCAAATAGGATTTGCATCCTTTAAAATATTACATGTTTGAAGGAGTGATTAACTACTAACAAAACTCTGCATACATTTGTTCTTCTAAGCTTATTTAGCTACAATTCAATTTTTAAAGGTCCAAGTTTGAAATGCTTATTTGTAGAGTTACTGTTAAACCTGTATATCTGAAGAGACTCTCAAATTGAATGTGTTTTCCTGTCCCATTTTTTATCTGTCAGGGACTTCCATTTCACAAACCATGACATGTGAACACCTGCTAATCTGAACACTTTTGGCTATTCCCAATAGTGTTTGAATTAGACAGGTTTTACTGTTCTAAAACTTGCCTCAATTTTCATAATGATCCAAACATTACAAAAAACATTTTAAAAAGCCTCTAATGTTTTCTACATTAACCTTAAATTACCATTAAAACTACTTTTAAGACCATACATCATTACAATCAAGACTTATGATGATTTACTCAAATGTTTGTCAAGTGCCTTTAACATTAAAGCGACACACCCACATTTTGTTACTTCTTACCTACTTCATGAATGTGTATTAAGAGAACTCAAGTAGCCAGAAGTAGCCAGTGAAAACACAGTCCTACATTGCATGAATTGTTACCCTTTATAAAAGCTCAACTACTTCACTCTTGAGATTAGAAATAATTCTTTGATCAAGATTTCCGCCCATAAAGAGCTAATATTCATGTAGCAATCAAACTATAACGAGGTATTTACATGCAAAATGGCACCACCTGCCATTAGTTACAGGAACAGAATGCCAAACAACAACCGCCAAACACCAAACAGAGACTATTGGACAGATTGAACTAATAAAATGCAATTAAAGCTAATAACATTTGAGACTATTAAGATCCCATCAGCATTAAAACAGTAAAATCTTATATTTAGTCAGAGTGTAGATTGGTAAGTTGTTGGAAAAACAGGGTAGTGAGTAATAAAAAACACATAGGATTCATGATGATGTTTATTTCAAACTTAAGGTTCAATTAAGTTACTGTATCTTCAAACAATCATTTGATTTTTTCTAAATACTGTTATTACTAATACTAACATGCTTTTTTCTAAATACTGTTAATAGGCACAAGACTACAACTAGTCAAAACTAATGGTTGGTCCTAGATATGATTACACTAAGATTACAACCATGTTTTACAGTTAGAAAAGTACTATACACAGAGTATCAATTACTTGTGCACCAGATTGCCTAGGGCTGATGTATATACTGACCAAACCATCTCTTAAAAACAAGGATACCTGTTACAAAGCAGGGGGAAATTGCTTGCAATGAAGCATGTTTAAACACCTCAAATTGCTTTGCTATGAAGCGTTCACTCAAAAATGCTTCATAACGAAAAAATTATCAAAGATAGGCTTAGATGATTTAACACTGTAAAAGATCCACATGTGAAAAATATTTAAGTCTTTTTATTAAGTACTGGTAATTATAATCATGAAATTATAATAAAACCAAACACCTCTCTAATCTGAACACCTTCCAACGCAAACACTTTTCCAAATTTTATCCCCCATAAGTGACTCACATATTAAGAAACTTTGAAATGTGCATGAACACTTTTAGGCAAGTCCAAATGGTGTTCAGATTAGAAAGATTTTGCTGTACATACAATCATGCGAAATCTACCTTTAGTTAAATGCCAACAAGAATATAATGCGTTGGGCTTATACCAAACTATCTATTGGAATTTTTCAATATTGTAAAATGTTTATTAAGAGTGTGATGACCTTAAATATTACCGTATGATTTATTCTAAAGGTAATCATAATAAAGTTCAGCATCAGTTGCTCACTGACTAACTAGGGATGGATCTAGGATGTACATTACTGTTAAAGGCACATATGTTACTTCCCTTGTTGTTCACCTTGATATTCCAAAAACTAAAAAACACTTAAAATTTTGTGCTATTTGATGAAAATCACAAAATTAAATAAGAAGCATATTATCTTATAGAATCGCCGTACTGGTACTACACATAGTTTTCTACTGTGTCATATCATTGATCATTTTGTTCATTACTAGACACCCGCTCATTTTGTTACATCTTCTGTTTTCATTTTGTAAAGAATTTTTTTAAAATCTGCTAAATTGCGAAAACAAATTGTGCCAAATTTTTGAAAATCCCAAAATTTACAAAATCCAATAATACACACATGTACTTTAATGAGTGCAAAAATGATACTTTAACCAGAAACCTGAACTTTCCTGAATCCATCACTGATTACTGCTGCCTTCTACAGCTCAACAGGTCATGGCAGTTACTTGTGAACTACCTACACTAGTAGTTCAAGTTATACCAGCATAGCACTGTATACTGGCTGTTTGAACATTCATATAGCTACATGCCATAGAACATAGACCAGGATATAAGTCACAATATAATAAGTTAAGACTGAAAACTGTTCAAGAATAAACAAGGAAATAGACTGTTTAATGTAACATAGGGTGTGTATATATCTTAGTGCATCAAACAAAGGGCGTATTCTAATAGAAGGGCATATTTCTTTACTACAAGGGCATATTCCAGAGTTTGTTTTGATACTAGAATAGCTGCTGGGCTCCAGTTGCTGCTGTATCTTCACAAAGTGAGTTAACAAGATTCAGGTCAACATTCCTCATCTAGTAACTGATAAACACAGGCAGATATAGGTTATAGAAAACTAGGCGAGGCAAAGGAAAACTAGGCGAGGTGAAGGAAAACTAGGCGAGGTGAAGGCTAAATACAATCCACATTCTAAAAGTTTAAAGGTAAGTTGTGATTAGCAATACAATGATTTGTTCTACTATCTACATGAAGGCTTTAAGGGAGTTTTGGGTGTGGCATAATCTAAGGGAGGTGTCAGAATGCCTTCCAGACCCAAAAGGCATACAGGGGGAGTATGTGTGTGTGTGTGTGTGTGGGGGGGGTTACTTAACGCCATGATAAATATTGTATCATAATGTTTTAGTTATATGGGGGTTAGTAGAGGATCTTCATCATACACCAAGTGACCTTTTAATGTTGAACTCCCAGCTTCAGGCAAAACAATCAAAACATCATGTTGCAAACACATAAACAACACATGGAAAGAGAACAAATTAAAGTTTGATTGCAACTGACAAATCCTCCATTCATGAAGTCCAGATGCAATCAAAAATGTGCAGTATCATGTTGAGTGAGGGGGATGATATCTCGCACATATCATTTTGAATATACAGTAAAACCTGTATTAACAAACACATCTGTTAATTAATAAATTATCTTTCAATGTGTGATATATAGACTTTTTGTTAGTTACAATTTTGTTTATCCCACTGATTCACATATTAATAAATCTTGACCTGTAAACACTGCTAATTTGATCATGTTTTAAAATATTATCAAAAAGGGGAGTATGGCACTGCTCATTTTGAAGTTCTCATGTTTATAACACAGAGTTGTAAACCCTTCTCTTGAAAGCCCATGGTTTAGTCCAGGGACGTTTGAATTAGTCGGATTTTACTTTAAATGTAAGTTATTTGACCAGTTTTACTTTATCACTACTTGGCATCACTATGTATCAATAGTTTGAGTATGTTAGGAATGTTTAGTTTTGGATTAATGTTCTGTTTATTTATTGAATGGCCATTATGTTTTCTTAGAAGGTCTCAGCAGATTTCATGTTTAATATTCAAATTCAAATTAAAAAAGTTGGCAACACATAGATGAATGGCATGCTGATTCCCAAAATATCAGCCGTAATGTTACATGTAAAAATCTTATTTACTGATAAACATTTTTTCATTCTTATGCTCCAATATCTAAAAACCAAACCCATCAAAACTCCAAGAGTGTGTACAGAATTTCTATATATCTGTTACAGAAAAAAACAAAATAATACAAGGCATTAA